AGTGAATATGCATTGATATGGTGAACATTTGGAGTCATGCTTGTGTCTACCTGGCAAATATAAGTCCATTATTAGCTCCTGTGTTCCACTTTCTTCACCAGCTAGTCGCTTAATTGCATTTGCTGTTTGGTGCTGGACAGGCAGCGTAACTAGCAGCAGAAAGCAGCTGCTACTAGAAGCAACGCTAATGAGAGTGGTGAGAGTGAACCTGAACAGGAGGTTTTTAGCAGGCCATAAAACCAAAACCAGAAAGGTTTAAAGGTTCTACTGAGAACCACAGAGCTGCAGGGTTTCTAATAATTCTCTGTGGGTTTATTACTACTAGTGACCCATTTCACATACAAGATGTGATCAATTACAAATTAAAAATAATGATTATAGCTGCTTACTTGAGTAAATGTTACTGCACACACACACACACACACACACACACACACACACACACACACACACACACACACACAGTATATTAATATGTAACCAGTGTGTTTACACTCTTGGCTAAAGGCAGTTCCTGTGCCACAGCGTATGACAGATGGCTGCTTGCTGACAGATGCATGAGCTCAGGACCGTCATCCTCCGGAAACCAGACGGCCAGCCAACCACGAGCTGCCAGTCAGCTCAGTGCACTAAGCCGATCTGTTGCCCCGGCAACAGCTATTTCGGCTCCACCTTAAGAGTTTGCACACATCGCAGGGTCAGATAAAATATTGGTAATGCACCTCAGAGGGAAGCCTGAAAATTGCTTAACATTTCTTCCCCTGATACTGAAACCATCATCTATTTGTCCCCTCACTCTCCTTTACTCCATCAGTCTCTGGAGCTCTTCTCCCTGTTTCCTCTCTCTCTGTGTGTCATCCACCTCCTTCTTGCTGTGTGATGTTTTGCTCAACAGAGGTGGAGGGAGAGGAGAGGGATAGGTGGGGAGAAGGGGAGGGGTGGGAGGTGCTGCCCCTGTTGGTTAAGCAGCGGCTTGGAAACTCATCTGGTAGTAATAAGGGCTCCACAGCGCTACTGTGACTCATGCCTGTGCGCACCCACCAGACTATTACAGGCTTATTGAGTACGTACATACGGTCATTAGACTCTGTGACCAACGCGAGCTGCACAACACACAAAAACCCTGTGGTGCACCGTTAAGACCAAATACACCCAGAGAAAGAAAATACACCTTTACACACAAATGCTACATGGGACATATAGTTGAAACACCACAAACTACACTGTAAACTATATATACAGTAATTACAGGGTTAGGAGTTTGTTTTTCTTCAAGAGCTCTGTTTCAGTATTACATGGAAGAAATTAATCACTTCCTGCAGTATGTGACTGTTAAATCACCTGTTTACAGGAATCACTGTTCCCAGACGTTCATTACAGGTTAAATGCACTACGGGCTAAATCCATTAACGTTGCATTATTGCTTTATAGGTGCCAACACGCTGAGCTTTCACCAGGTATCTTTTTTTAACGCTTACAGTATGTATGTTTTTTTCTGGGTGATGTAGTTTGTTTTGGTTTTAAAGGGTTAAAAATGGCCACTTGGGTAAATTTAGTTTGGTTTAGTTACTACACAGACTTTTATGAGGGATTGAATGATGAAGACCTGGACTTATTTCCACCGTTGTCCCTGGTGTACAGTCCCAACAACTTTTATCAAGATACATAGCTAAATCTATAATATTGAAGTGGGTATATAGTGTCATTTAATTCCAGCCTGAGATAATAATAAAAACATTAGGGAAGGAGTAAAGGAACAGTCTCTCTCTCTCTCTTAGTGTCTCCATCACACAAAAACAGTTTAACATAATTCAGGCCCATCCTACGTTACCAAAAACCATTTGAGCTGACTGGTGTGTTTTCTACTCCTGCTGTTTCATGGCCGATACTCCAACCATCAGATACATATTCAAGGTGATGCTGGACTCCAGAAATACTCTCTATGTGGATTTTTCTTCTACTCAGGCGTGACTTTAGAAACAGAAGAAGGTGTGGTGGTTGCCCATGTTTGTATGTTCATGTAGCTGGCGTGGAAACATCACATCTTCTACTCTTTGGTTTCCTCCAGTGTGAAGGACAGTGATGGGGATGCTGGGAAGTCAAGACACAACCCAGGATTATCATAACTCCTACCAACCCCATTAGGACCCACAGGTTCATTTAATATTCAGTAAAAAGCCTCCAACACTGAAAGCTATGCCTGAATTCCTTTCTCTGCTATGCTGCAGCCAACACTGCTTATACATTTGCGTTTGATTTGATGTTAATTCAAAACGCAGCCCATGTGAGCCCGTGGCGTGATCCGCCGCCGTCTTCGGGGTGTCAGAAGAATCACGACTCGGGATGAGCACGAAGAGATCCTTATCAACCAGCAAAATGGCGGCCTTACGTGGCTGATCCCACAATCTATCATCTAGAGTCCTCTGAAGCGGCAGGCCCCTGCGCTCACCGCTTTTTTACGCGCAGCTCAAACCCACCTGCCTTGCGCTCCTCGCATCCTCCCCCCTGCGCAGGTCGACTCTGTACAGCCGCACCGCACACAGATAGTCTATAAGAGCACGAGCAGGGCTGTATGCGCAATAGTGCGTGATGTGTTTGTGTTATCACAGTGTGCGGTGTTGGGTTCCTAACCGTGAAGAAAAGCGGGGACAAAAGGAGCGGGACGGGGAGGGAGGGGGGGAGAGAGGGAGGGGGTAGTGCATATATTCACCGCATTATGAAGTAAGACTTTACGTATGCGTAAAAACTGACCAGGCTCGTGCGTCCCGGGGTTGTCGGTCATCTCCAGCACCAGCAGCTCGCGGCCCTCGAAGCTCTCCCCGATGGTGTAGATGCGGGTGATGGTCGGGCACTGCAGCCACACCGACACCAGCGCCTTCCGCAGCTCCTCATAACGGTGGTACTCGAAGGAGATCTCACCACCCTCGGTGCCGGCCGCGCTGACCAGGGCGACCGCCGCGGCCCCGAATAAAACTACCGAAAGGAACTGTTTCATTTTGACTTGTCCTCTTCTTCCCCTATAAGCCCTGTCTGTCTGCCTGCCTGCGGCTTGGTCCCAAGCCTTATCTCTGTGCTGCAGCCTCGCTTTAGGCTATAAATATCTCTCCCTGTGCAGCTCTCTCTCTCTCTCTCCCTCTATCTGAGTGTGATGCGCTGCTGTACCTGAGCGCAGACTCCCTCCAGTGTAAAGCCCGACAGAGGATTAGTGCATCCGGATAACATTTTCAAAATAAATACCTTTTTTTTCCCCCTCTCAGATGAAAAGCAGAAGGTGTTTGTTTCATAGTTTTCACATATAAAGCCACATATTTAACTCTAAAGGATATTTTAAGCAAGATATACCCAAATAAAGACACGATGGAATAAATCCTTGTTAAAAATAAATGTTTATTATTATGGATTTGTTATTTCCTGATTCTTTCACAATATCAGAGTCAGTTTTATTTCCTTCAAACAACACATAACCAGCTCTGCCCGCACTGTGGTGAATAATATTGGCAATATGAAATAAAAAGGTCAGTGGGGAAAACAACAAACTTTATTTGAAAAAAAGGAAATTTTGAAATAAAAACTGATGGACTTTAATAAAACTGACTTACAATAAACTGTATCATTGTGAAAGCAGGAAAAAATAACACTTCATAACCAAGGATCTTCACTTTTCATTAGTTTATTTCACACTTTCATGGTTGGTTATATTACATATATATTACACATTTATTTTATACTGTTTTATTTACTTATTTAATATTCATGGTTATTGCCTATTTATGCTGGATTATTTGTTTATGATATAATTGCTTTTAAGATTTTTTATCACAGCTAAAATTCTACCAAGAAGACCAAGCTCTTGTTTTCAAATGAACATGTTCAGTCTGTGTTATTATTCCAGTGTGTACTCTGACAACACTTTATTGTTCTGTAAATGTTGCTACAACAATTAATCAATAAAGTCAGTGAACAGAAAATTTATTATCAACTATACTGATTATGAGTTATTCCTATTCATCAAGAAAAATGCCTGTTTTGTGTCACTTTTAAATTGAAAACTTTAAAGCTTTGGACTGTTGGCTCCAGCAAATTGTGATGGTATTTTTCTCTATTTTCTAATATTGCATAGACTCAATAGTCATTCATCAGAAAAATAAGCAACATATTCAACAATAATGAAAATAACTGTCAGTTTCAACCCTTCAGTTTGTGTTTCTACTAACTCAGCTTTGGTCCTTAATGTACAATCTGCCTCACTTCCTGTTTGGTACCTGCTGCTGGCTGACTTGACTACAGCTGTGTGTGCTGGATGGGGCAGTAGGGGTGTGTCCACAGTGCAGCAGAGAGATGGAGAAAACCTCCAGTACATGCACTGAAACACCAACTTCCCCATTAACAGAGGAACACACTTACTGAGAAGATTCAGATCGGTGATGTTAATCTTAAACAGAAACTGTCAGTAAGAAATGTGTTCATATGTCAATAATGTATATTATTTTATTAATGCAGAAACACATATAGATATATGTAGATCATTATTTTAAAAGCCTGAAGTTCGTTTTTGTAACAAAATTTCCAATTCTGTCACAAAAAAAATCAACACAACCAAACTCCTGTTTGAATTTCTTCATACCTTTTTATTCTAATATGACAAAAACAGGAAAAACAAAACATTTTCAAGGTATTTTTTTTGTAAAATCAAAATGTATTTATTCTTACAGTCTCAAACAAAATAGGCTTAAACAACTTAGAAGTGCCTTATGAGCCAATCCCTTCCCTTAAAAAAATCTACATGGGCGTGCAACACCTTCAAACAACTTGTTCGGCACTGAGTTTCTACGGTTCCCCCTCCGAACTGCAGCTGTAACACAAATATCACTGTGACTCAGTTTAACTCAAGGGGAAGCGCTAAAGTGCTCAAACATTCAGAGGTATACGGAAGCATTTCACAAGAGAGTCGTATAGTACAACTTTTTTTTCATTCAATGAGAAAAGCAGCAAATCAAAAATGAGGATGTTGATGGTTTTTATTCAGCCGACAGCTGTTGATAGAAGCAGACAACAATACTTCTTTTTGCAGAAAGGCACAGAAGACGGACTGAAGTCAACATGTAGTCCGATTCAGAATCAAACCACAGTAGTCCTGATTCATTTAAAGTACACCTTTAATGTGTGGGTGTGTTTCATTAAGTGTACCGAGAGGACACTGTTGGTGTGCTCACTGTGAGTCTGCACAACTCACAGCCTCTTCCACCCTCCTCCTGACAGACCAGTTGTGTGTGTGAACTGAGGCACGAGTGGTTTACTGCTCCTTCTTGTCTTCCTGTTTGTGCATGTACTTGTTGTACTGGTTGTCCGTCCCCAGCAGTTTGTCCCACCAGGTGAAGGTGGAGGCGTAGTTCCCAACAAAGTTCATGTGGTGGAAGTCGTGGAAACGGGTGCCGGCGTAGAACGGGATCAGGTGGAGCGGGTTCAGAGGGATGTCGTAGCCACTGAGAGGGAGCAAGAAGAAATTTAAGAATGTCAGATATCCATTAAAATATATCACCAATCTTTGTTGTGTTGCAGATATTAAGAGGCAATGACAAAGATCCCTCCAACGGGGCTAAAGTTTTTCAGATGGGGTATTAGAAATGATCAATATTTGTGTTGTTGTAATGGCGATACTTAAGATAGGATGCATTTGTTCCTCTCTAGTGGTTGGTTATTAAGATCATGTACGTTCTCACAAACAATAACACTTGATGACTTACTCCTCCTGTGTTTAATATTGTTGCACTGTTGGCTAAAATTTTTAATTTTTTTAAGTTTTATCTTAGAGGACCGAATTGCAAAAAAGGCAAGAAAAGCTTAATGACTACAAGAGAAAATGTTATAAATTAAGGCACAGTCTGGAAAATGGAGGAATTATTCATGTTTATAAATGAATTAATTTATTCTAAATCTATTTATTTCATCTATCTTTCTTTGTTTCGTGTATTGTTCTTTTTAGAACTGCTGTAAGTTATAGATGTTGTATATTGTATCTGTGATTCAAGGATTATTTCATCAATAATAGAAAATACTAACAAAGATTGTGTATTCTAGAATAAGTACGTTATTTAAGATAAAATAACAAAGAATAAATTATTTTTAGATCATTTTTAAAAGCAAGCTGCAAAAAGACAGAACCAGGAAAATAAATGAGCAAAATAAAATAAAATTCAATTAATTTTTTAAAACTGAATTAAATTTTATTAAAAATTAAAGTAAATAAGTAAGAACATAAAAGACAAGAAATCTAAAACAATTTAAGAACAGGCGAGTATAAAATAATGTGTTTTAAAAGACATTTAAACAAAGATAAAAAAAACTTGCTTGCCTAATCAACCTGTATTATTCACCTCCTGCCTCATGTCTGGAGGAGTCTCTTTTTGTGTATGTGCATGTAAGTCTTAGTATAAATGTATGTATGTAATCCAAAAATAATAGCAAAATATGAATATATTATAATAATAAGTCAAGATGAGACTCTCAAGAGAAAGGAGTTCTATGTCACCTGATAGTATCTGGTGTTCTCTGTGGCCCTCTAGTGGCCGAACTCACAAGTTACTGACACAGTTAACATGAGAACTATCTGTCTCACAGTTTATTGTTATCAGTGATGTAACTGCTGCTCTCTTCCTCCAGAGCTGATTTTATATTCAATGAATTGTCTAACGTAGCAGAGAGAGGGGGAAGGAAACAACCGTTGTTGTGTCCTACCTGTGGACATCAATGGTCTCCAGCAGGCGGAAGGACACCCAGGCCCACAGGAAGAACACGTGGTTACAGAAGATCATGATGCCGATGAAGAAACCAGCACCGAGGATGAGAGTCTCAGCAGGATGAGCGTATTCTGCCTGCATGCCGAACGGAGCCTGAGGGACGGCAGAGACACTGTAATGTTTATGTGTGTGTGGTCATGTGTTGGGTGCAAGGCCATGTTTAATGAGTAACTCTACTGTAAAGAGAGGTACCAGACTGTGTTTATTTATCTTATCATGTGCATGTTTTACTCACGGTGAACTCGTGGTGGACTTTGTGGATGTATTTGTAGATCCTGCGGTGATGCAGCAGGCGGTGCAGGAAGTAGTGCCAGGTATCTTCAACAACAGCACAGCCGAAGCACTGAGCCACGACGTACGGCCTGCAAGGAGGAGAGAGCAGCTGATAAATGCAGCACGTGTAACAAAACGCCATTTCAGGGAGTCATCCATTCAATTGTAAATATCTTTTTTTTATCCCACAATGGATGACCAAATACTTCCGAGTTTGCAACAAGAGACACAAACATACATTATCATAATAAAAGATTATCATAATAAAAGATACATAATACATAAAAAGAGACTCCACCAGACATGAGGCAGGAGGTGAATAATACAGGTTGATTAGGCAAGCAAGTTTTTTTTATCTTTGTTTAAATGTCTTTTAAAACACATTATTTTATACTCGCCTGTTCTTAAATTAAATATCATCCTCAGTGTTGGTTTCTCTCCTGCTAGATTGCCATTGCCAATACTGTTGTTGCTGTGCACCTGTCTGTCTGTCTGTCTGTCTCTCTCTCTCTCTCTCTCTTTCACCCCAACTGGTCGAGGCAGATGACCACCCACCTCTCTTTATCTGTCCTAGGTTTCTGCCTTTTAACAGGCAGTTTTTCCTTGCCCTTGTCGCCAAGTGCTTGCTCATGGTGGTACTGTTGGGTCTCTGTAAATAATGTTTTAAAGAGTTCGGTCTAGACCTACTCTATTTGAAAAGTGTCCTGAGATAATCTGTTATGAATTGGCGCTATACAAATTGAATTGAATTGAATTGAATTGAATAATGCACACCCTGTATGGGCAAGAAACTGCTACATAAATACATGTACTAATATTATTTTTATATGTATGTGTAAATTCTGTAGTTCAAATGAATGATTAAAAGCACATTGTAGTTAAAAACTAATAAAACAGTTTGTTTTAAAAAAACAGACTCTTAATATGATTTTAATATTGCAATATTCATTTAAACCATATTTCCCAGCTCCACACATTCATCTAGAAAAATGGTTTCACTGTATCTATCAACATCTATCTAATGACATTAAGATAAAATTGTTTGTTTTACGTGTGAAGCAGATTTGCATCAATCACATGCACGTATGTCCTGTTCTAAAGCAGAGTGATGGAGGCATCACAGGGCAGGAAAATAGTCTTTTTAGGATAAGTGATCTCTGCAGGAGAGCTCTGTGTCATTAATTTTAAGGCTATGCAGAGCTACAGTTTCTAAAAAGAAAAGAAAATAAGTTTTCTGTCAACAAATGTCACCTTTCTACCATCATCACAGTTAGCCTGGGCATGGATTTAACATTTAACTTGAGAAAAAAGCTAAAAGTATTGCTGTCTAGTCTACGTCTAGGGTACTTTGAATGTGACATGTTTATTGCACTTCCACTGACCAGCGTGGCATGGAGTCCCAGTCATAAGGGATGTTGAAGAACTCGGTGAAGTAGTAAGTCCCACAGATCAGAGGCAGCTGGATACAGAAATGGTTGAACAGCAGCATCTTGAAACATCTCCACTGTTTCTCCCAGGTCTCCGGCTTGTCCTGCACACAACGCACACACAGAAAGTTTATGTTTGTGGGGCTTTTAGTGCCTTTAATTGATAGAGACAGCTGTAGAGTGACAGGAAATGTGACTTAAATTAAGACATAACAACCAAAAACCCACACATACCTGTTGGATCTTGTATTTCTGCATGAAGGGCATGAACTGGAAGAGGAAACCGGGCAGGCAGAACAGGAAGTAGATGAACTCATGGACGATGAGCGACCCCCAGGTGGCGATCTGGAACTTGGTGTAGTTGTCCAGCATGTAGCCCCAGGCATGTTTCAGGGAGGGCTGGAAGGGGTTTTCTGGCAACACTGCATCCACGTACTCCACCGCTAGGTAGGCGGAGCTCAAGATGTCTGCCGTGTCGTTCACCGCCATGATGGACAACGCAAGGTGAGTGCAGGTCCGGAGAGAAGACTGGAAAACAGGAACACAGTGTTACATGTGCAGTTCTCAGCAGGATCTAAGTCATTACAGCTGCAGGTGGACAGCTGATAGTCCACTCCAGGATTGTCTTTCAATCACAATTTTGTGATGAATTTATATTCATTTCAAAATGTACCTTAAATATAAGATAAGTAGTGTGTGTGTGTGTGTGTGTGTGTGAAGCAAAATATGTTTCAGGTATCAAAAGTTAAACTTATAAAGCAAAATGGCCTCTTTTAACAATGTTATATATCATATTATTACATTATTATCAGTGCAATAACTTATAAGCAGTATTTTAATATTGCAGCTAGTCTAACTACTTTTTTGGATGTAAAATCTGAATCTGCAAAGTAACTAAAGTTGTCAAATAAATGTAATGCAGTAAAATAAAAAGTACAACAAACAGGAGTAGAAAGTTAGTAAAAATAAAAAGTAGCACATCATGGAAATAGCAAAGGAAAGTACAATAAGCTACCTGAATGTAACTCTCCACCTCTGCAGAATTTAAAGACAATGTACTTCTGAAATACATAAACTCACAAAAATTTAAACTCGTTTTTAAATCATAGTTTATAATCTATCATCTATATTGAGAGATTATAACTTCAAACAAATCTAAAAATTCTGCTGCACATATAATTACCACATCTCACTGTTAATATTTATTCATTTTACAGGTGCTGATGTTTTTTTTTAATCTTTTATATGGCTTTAAAGCAGAACTATGGTACCCTATATGGCATATTGTTGTATAACATGTGCATAAGGCTTCAATAAATAGCATTTGAATCATAAAATCTATACAGAAACACACAGAATCACACTGCTGACACACTGTTAGTCCAGTAAGACAATAAACACTCATACACTTCATTACATTCCCACAGAGGAGACTTTAACAGGTAAAACGTCCCACTGACACTGACACTGTTTCACAATTATTAATTAACGACAGGTTTGCTTCAAATTACGAAACAAGCCTAAATATTAATCTTTAGATGTCACAGCTCGCAACCCAACATCTGCATATATTCTTCACTGCACTACATAAAGATTTACTTTGACAAAGTTCACCTAAATACCTCATTTGTGGCTAAAAGGACGGTAAACACTCACCTTTCCGCGGTACGTCCCGTCTACCTGAGCGAGGGGCAGCTGGCCGGGTGAAGTACAGTAATATGGAGCAACCTGATTGGCCGAGAGGAGAGGAGACTGACGTCGGGGGGCCGAGCGGCGTCGCTGATTGGTCCGCGGGATGGAGTGATGATAGTGAGACTGTAGGTTTCTACAGCAACGGCCAATCAGAGGCGAGCTCGGCTTTCATAACCATCGCGGCGTTGAACGGACTGCATGAGGGAATAAATGGTCTGAGAACTTTGAGTCATACGTGTTGTGTGTCCTCCATCTTAAATTTACATTATAACAGACTGAAACTCCCACTGTCAGCTGGGGAAGTCTTGTCTAATACATTGTGGTATTAAAGTTGATTCAGTGATTTATGAATGAAGGTATTACATTCAATTAAAGTACTATTACTGATGTTTTTGCTCAAGAAAAAACACATATATAAGTTTCCTGTTTGTGCTGGTTGCTGTTTTTTCTGGTGTATTTAGACATAAATATATACGTCTTGTCATATCTAACATTTAATTGTGATTTTTTTTGTATTAGGGCTGAGTATAAGTTCATTTGTTTCAGTACTAGAGCTAATATTATATCTGAGTTTCTATGGCAATACTTAAATAATATTTTTTTCTGATTCCTTACTAAACAAAACATCAGTAAAAGTATTAAAGTATTCAAATCCTTAATTTAAAAGTTCAGTACTCTACTGTAGCAGTACCACACTGTACACTTACATAAAAGTACAGAAGTATATTCTGCACAATGTACTTTAAGATTCAAAAGTAGTTAGAATACCGAAGAATAATATAATACTAAGTATTATATCAAATATACTTATGCATTAACATGCAAACAGCATTTTCATGATGAAGCTGACTACTTTACATAATATTCGGTTGGTTAATCACTGAAAATGCATCACATTTTAAGTAAGTAAGTGTAAGTATGTAAAGTCGTAATCAAAGTAACTATAGTTATCAATTCAGTGAAGTATTTAGAAGTAAAAGTACCTAAAACTTGTACTGATTAAATTACTTATTTTCAACGACCACACAAAAAGACAAAGTTCTCATATATTAAATGTTGTCTAAATAAAGGCAGAATTATAAAACGTTTTCTTAACTAAGAGTGTGAAACTCTTGCTACTTGACAAGACAGACACAGAGCATTCAAGTTTAATACTCAACACTAATGGCGACATAGGAAACTGTAATAAATGAATCAGTGTTCAAGTATTAAAATATCAGACACGGCAAATTCCATTTCGATGTTTTACTGATTTGGCAAAGTTTTAAAAACAGATTATATAATTTCACAGCTTTAAATACAAGAAGCATATTTATTAATGATAATATAAAACAAGTAATGAAACATTTTCAAAGTCATTAGCCTACATGACATTCCTCAATACACTGACAAGAAACAGCGATACCAGTTACTATTATAGCAATTTTTCAATATAGGAGGAGATGGAAGAGAAAGAGACTGAAGAAAAAATAAAATCAAGAGTAGGTTTGGTCACTTTCCAGAAAGAGAGAACAGATTAGTAAAGTAGTAAAGAGAGACAGAAACAAAGAGACATATTAAAATTGGCACATTCATAGTACGGTCAGGGTGCGCAGTAGTTAATAGGGTATGCTACACCGAGGGAGAGGAGGGTACAGTTGAAGGAGAGGAGGGTACAGTTGAAGGAGAGGAGGTTAGACTTGGGGACCATGCAGTGAGTTCAGGCTTGTTGTTGTCATTAGTGGTTACAACCACAGCAAACACGGCTGCCAGGTGACAGTAAAGCACTGATACATCCAACTGTTTTTCACCTCAAAACAGCTTCTCCCCCTCTGTCTGTCACTCTTTTTGGCAACGTGAATGAGGATTCTCTTTCACCAGAAGAGTTGTATTCCAGTGAAAGTCTGTTTTTTTATTTATTTTTTTTAAAGAAAATGTACATTGCCTGCAACTGCTTCTCGTGTAGCCGTTCTGAATTCATGCGGGCTAACGCAAACCGACGCATCGTCACTGATCTCAGCTCTCAAATGTACTTCTTCATCCCAGAACAGAGGTGCAGAGTCCAGCTGAGCTCTGTCCAGTAACAGTCCTCGAGACCAAAACAAAAGGAGAAGAAGCAGGGGGCGTAATTTGACATTCAGGCACTCTTGAAAACAGCCACACTGCAACACTGTAGAAAAAGGTCAGAGGTCAGACAGAGTGCGTTCATGCGGCGTCGGACCAGGCGTCACCACACAGAGACTCAGATGCTACACAAACACACATGCTCACGTGTGCAAGCAAAGGAGCACCTTTAAATGCAAGAGCACACACACACACACACACACACACACACACACACACACACACACACACACTCAGACGCACACTTTCAGGAGGTTTAAAAAACCAAAAGGAGAAACAAAGATTTCACTCCCGAATGGTCGTTCTCCGCCTCCCTCTCCCGTACATTAGATCAGTGGTCTCTCTCAGAGCTGGTTCAACATTACTAATGTTAAAGTAACTTTGCAGTAATAGTAGCTTCACATCAGTAGCGTTTCAATCACACCGCAGTGGTACAGTGGCGCTTCAAACTGGTTTTGTCCAGTCGCTGCGGCAGTCCTGCCAGGAGGGGATTAAAACGCGGGTTCGTTCCCCCCCGTTTTGTTACAGCTCCCCCTGTTCGGGTAAGTGCAAAAAATCTTCATCATCGTCATCCTCAACAACAACACATCTTGTCATTTTCTTCATCTTCGTCAGTGCCTGTGCTAATGCTGCCCACATCGAAGCATCGGCATCGTAGACAGATCCAAGATCAGTATTCAGCAGGAGAATACATTCTGCTCCGAATCAACGGCAGGTGTCAAGAGCAGTCATAAGGGCTTGTCGATCACAGTCACACCTGTGGTTAAAATAAATAAATAAATTATTGTTAATATATAATAATAATTTAAAAAAGTTCAAGCAAAAATGAAGTTAATCGTTATTATCATCTCTATTTATATATTATTTCCTCTCTCTGTCCTGTTTGCTGGTTTCAGGCCAGCGCTTGTTTGATTTATCCTTGTTAAGTTATTTATTTCAAATATAGCCTTTGTTACTTCTGCATAATTTTCTATTTCATGACTGTAACCATATACTGCTTTCTATTGTTTTCTGCTACCCATTCTTAGAAAAAACATGCTGTATGTATCTTATTATAATTCTTAACTCATTCCCTAAGCACCACAATAAAATATCAAAACAAAAAAGTTACCTTTCACTAGTTTGGATGGAAAATATTAAGTTAGCAGCATGTATGCTTACACACCTGCATAACTGCGTCCTGTGCTCATGCAGGTCGGCAGTAGCGTCCACTTGTCCGAGTTTGGATTGTAGAACTCCACAGAGGCTAAATTGCAGCTGCCATCGTCTCCTCCCACCACATAGAGCAAGTTATTTACAGTGCACACACCTGAAAACACACACACACACACACACACACACACACACACACACAGAATGGAGATTAATGGACGTCTGACGGAGTAACCAATCAAACCTGAGGATGTCGCTCTGCTTTACCTGCGTTACGTCGACACATGTTCATGTCAGCTACCTGTCGCCAACTATTAGAGGCCGGATCATAAACTTCACAACTCTTCCTCACCAATGGACCATCATGACCCCCAACAGCATACAGTAAACCTTTTAACACACCCACACCTGAGGATGACATTTACAAGATCTGGTCACCATTCAATCAGTAGAGCAGCATCATTAGGTCTTACAGAGCGTGTGTTGTTTTGAATGTTAAACAGAACCACAAACACTCACCTGCTCCACTGCGTCTCGTGCCCATCTCTGCAATGTAGCTCCACGTGTTGCTTTTGGGGTTGTAAGCTTCTACTGTACTCAAACATTGTCTGGTTGCACCATCGTAGCCACCAACTGCATACAGGATCCCTGAAAAACACACGTGAAATCCATGTAGTTGATATATTTCTAATGACTTATGATGAGGGAGGCACAGTGCTGGACATAATAAAAACAAAATTAAAATTAAAATACAATATTTAAAAAGTTTAAAAAGACAGTCTTATTTTATACCTTTTGCTTGAAAAGAGGTGAAGTGAGTGAGTTGCAATCTGCACACTGCCAGATGCCACTAAATCCTACACACAGGAACTTTAAGTGCCTTTTATTTTGTGTTGATAAGGATCTAATAATCACTTTGTTAAAGCTGTTTTCCCGTGTTTTATAGTAACAACACTACAGAGTGCAATAATGTATTTTTGGATGCGTCTACAAACTATGGCTTCAACAGCTCTGGTTTATACGGTTTATTTTGTCCACCCTCTGATCTATTTCTAAATGCAGGCTGTAAAACTGAACGGGGAACTGTATTCACCATTGACGACACCCACTCCTACACTGCTTCGTCGGGTACTCATGGGTAACACGTGGAACCACTCGTCTGTCTTCGCGTTGTACGCCTCGATTGTCGACAGACCTGCAAACACAAACACAGAGCACGCATCAAAAAACTCCATTAAAAACAACATACCTGATTAACTCCTGCTGTTGAACCAATTAAAAGGCCTGTAGGGATTGTTGATTCACACCAACACACTGTACCTGTGCTGCCGTCGAAGCCCCCCACAGCGTACAGGAGCCCGTTGAGCACAGCAGCCCCCAGCGTTGATCGGCGGTCTTGCATGCTGCTCACGCTTGTCCAGCGGTCCATCATCGGGTCGTAACAGTCGACCGTCCGCACGCGCAAAGAACCGTTAAAACCACCAACTGCATACACACACCCACTCATGTACACCACACCTGAAGGCAACAACACAGAAAATACACAGGTAAACACAAATATCTAGAAGAATACTCACACACAAACAGTCTGGTCTAGTGAGGATGAAATGCTGGAGCAACCTCAGAGTGGAAAAGTCATAAAATGGGAAACGAAGGGTCAACTTTGGTGGAGATTACTTGTTTTGTGAATTTCCCCTTGAGCATCAATACAGTCCAAACCAAACTGGAAACTCTGATGTGAATTCTGTGTCTTTCCCATCACATTTTAAATAATCCTCGGGTAAAAACTGCATAAAGTGTAAGAGAATCC